ACTTCCCGTGACAGTACCGTAAACAAATGGAGTGGGACCCAGTCTCGACAAACTTGGAGCGCAGTGAAATTCAGGGTCGGCAAAAACAGGCTCGCAGGTAGTAGTGGTTAAAAGCAAAAAAAAACAAAAAAAAAACTACGAGCTCAGCCTTACCAGCAAGGCAGGGCGTATTCCATGCTTTTTTTTCATTTTTCTTTTGTTGATTTCCTCCTACTTGTGCCCATATAGCAATGAGCTACAGATGTAGGGGAAGCCCTGACTGACGGGATACTCACACTAGTACTGTCTAGGATGTATCTTACCACTATCACGGGCAAATAATTTTTCTCTTTTGTTTTTTTTGCTCTATTGTAGTTCCTGCCAGCAAGGCAGGGCGTTTTCCGTGTTCTCAGCGAAATGTTTGTTCCCTTTTTTCTTTTTCCCCTCCTATCCGTGTCCATGTAGCACCGAGGTACTTCCAAATGTCATAGAAGCCCTGATGGAGGGCATACTCACACTAGTACTGTCTAGGATGTACCTTACCGCTATCACGGGCAAATATATTTGTTTTATTTTTTTTATTTTCCCTCCTATTGCATGTTGTCAGGAACGCCCTCATTCATGCATAAAAAGAGGAGGGGCGGGGGAGGGGGGAGGAAAAAGTGGAAAAAAAGGAAAAGGAAAGATGAAGGGGAGAAAAAAACAAAACGCTCAAAGTGGAAGTACCGGTTCTCCAACATTGAAGGACCGGTTGCTTACTATATCACTGCTTTTCACAAGGTGCCTCCTACCAAAACCAAAAGGTTCGGTAGCTCGAAAAGAAAAAGGTTCGGACGACTGGTCTGTAAGGTACTGGTGGTTTAAGACCACCACCTATTCCAAGTGAACCAGGTGAGTCCATCTAGATTGGTTTCATGATTCTTACCAAGAGTCGGAATAGCAACAGTCAGGTGATGGTCATTGTTGATCGATTCTCTAAATATGCTATGTTCATTCCTCTGCCTGCAGAAGCAAGAATGAAACTCGTCATCCTGAAGTTCCAGATGCGATGGGTTCCAAAATATGGATTTCGAAAAACCATAATCTCTGATCGGGATGTACTATTCATTGGCCAACAATGGCAAAAGTTGATGGATGCATATGGCACCTGATTGACCAAGTCGTCAGGGAGACATTGTGAAACGAATGGGCAAACTGAACAGATGAATGGTCTGTGCCAACAACTTTTGCGAATGTATGTACGGCCAGATCATAAAGATTGGGATGAGAACTTTCCTAAGATTGCAAGTGTGTACAACAACAATTTTCATACAGTGACTGGCAGAACACCGAACGCACTTCACAAAGGATGGAAGCCACAACGTCCCATTGATGCTTTGAAATGGGACCGAGTTCAATGGCCACCCCCAGAAACATGAGAATTTGCAGTTTTGTATGAAGAAGATATAAAGAAAGTCAAGGAACATATTTAGAAAGCTCAACTACACATGATTGAACAGGCTAACAAACATCGGCGAACATCAACGTTCAAAGAAGGAGATCTTGTTTGGGTCAAGTCTAAAGAATTTTCCTTAGAAGAAAATGTATCACATAAGCTGCTACCTGTCTACTACGGACCGTGGGAAGTTCTCAAGGTGACAGGGGATACAGATGTACCCCCGCACCTCAAGACATACCCTGTCTTTCACGCATCTAAGCTACTGCCATATGTTTCCTCCTTCAATTGATGGAGGCTATAAAGTTGAGAATATACTTGAGCATGGATACTTTTCTATAGGTGGCAGAGGTAGGCCACATAAGCAGTTCAAGGTAAAGTTTAAGTCTCAACCCCCATCTGAAGCTTGATGGTTTAGCAAGAAAGAGCTTTTACCTATTGCTCCTGATATAGTCTATGCATATGAGCATGGTTTGAGAGAGAACTAAGTTCAAGGAATTTCTGCGATGATACTCGAAAATTGGGCTTGCAGGAATGCAATAACCCGCTCAGACATGCCTATGTTGTCGGCCAAGGGGGGGGCACGCGCAGGACACGAATCGGCCTCGAGGCCTGCGCCCGTCGTGGGAAACAGAGCCCTTGAAATGAGGCTTCAGAGGCCTTGCACCCGATAGTTGACCGAAGTCAACTCTAAATCCGAAACTGAAGCTCACGAGTCAAAGTGACCCAGTCCAGGCCACCGATCAGACACACACACTTGGTTGTACGCAGGTATCGAGGCAGCATTCATTCCAAGTTGAAGTCTATAACTATACGAGATCCAGGCCGTCGGCTGTGAGTCAATCTCAGCCTTTGTATGGCAGAGACCAGAGGCTGGTCAAAGCCATCAACATTATTTATTGACCCAGCCCTTGGAGGTCAACGTTCAGTCTTGCACTTGCTGCTTGACGTTGGCAATATGCTGGCATTGCGTGACAACGATGCGAGACTGGTGCTTTTCGTGCTGGCGCCGCTCTGTTCTTGCCGCCAACTGTCTTCTTGGATGCTGATGTGGCACTCACCACGCTGTCTCTGGCATTGCTGATGTGGCACATGCCACACTGTCTTCAATGCAGATTGGGGATGCGACAAGGAGGGAGATCTGGATCTGTGGAATTGGTTGAGTGAGAGAGAGGAAACTTACCTGTTGATGCTGTCGACATTGCGTGCTGCAGAGACATCTTCATGGGAGAATTGTGCCTACGTGGCACTATGTTGTGATCAGATCTCGTTAGACTCGTTTCTGGGACACTGTTTGCTGACGTGGATGTGAGGAGACGCCCGAAGAAGAAGTGGGGATTGAGGGATTTCGAACTACGTGAACATTGATGGCTACTTTCTCTTCCACCCTCTGAGTCGATTCTCCCTCTTATCTACTTCGTCCTATGGTTACGAGACATTGTATTACAGATCACATTTCACGATTATTGGAGACATTTATCAGCGCTGAGTTATCTTGTATTTCGACATTTGACGAGTTTCCTCCTGGACTGGGCTCATTTCACACCAATCAGAACTGATGACGTTCTAATCTGAGAGACTGTGCTGGGAAACCCTATGCCAGAGTCAGTGGGATCTATACAGGACGCCAATGTTAGTGTGCAACATCCACAAGACAACAACCCACGCCAGGCAAGTATGCAATGTGCAATAAACAACATCAATAGCACAATCAACAATGCAATGAGTTAGCTGCTGCTGCTTCTTCTCTTCACAGGTGTGTCTCTCGCTAGGCATGTGTCCAGACGAGTGGCACTACAACATTTTTCGCATGCCGCACTGCCCGTCTGGTTCCACACATGCAAGGCACTCTCTCGCGCCAGCTATGCCAGGTCAGCATCGGCATACCACATCATCAATCGCGACCACATCATCAATCGCGTCCTGCCCTGCAAGCAATAAATGCCTGCCACGTCAGTAGTGGAGGCCTGCCTGCCTGCCACGTCTTTAAGGAGGTCCACCACGTCATCTGCGGTGCCTGCCTCTGGTAGTATGTCACGCCAACAAAGGTGTACAAGACACAATAATGCGTGCCACGTCAGCAGGTTATGTCGGCCTTCTTGCCTGCCTCAGCATGTGAGCAGCTGGATGTGTGCCGCGTCGCTACTTATGCTTACAAGGTCAGCAAGCCGCATCTACATCAGCGCCCAATATGTGCCACGTCAGCACTCCCTCTTGGTCTCACTAGTCTCTCCATGGTGGAAGTCTGTCTCTGGTGTCACATCAGCAGACTACACTGCCATGCGGCACTTTGTATCCCCTCGCATTGTCATCCCATCCGTCATCATCATCATATAACTCGTCATCATCATCATCCCACTCGTACTCATCATCAGCAGGTGGCGAGGTCAGTGGAGAATGCTCCAATGCCAAATTGTAAGCCACTCAGCAATTGAATACAAATTTGAACCCAACACACAGCATGAAGTACCCAAAGTTAAGTACAAGTCCATGTCTCGATCATATGCACAACCCAGAAGCATCGTCTCATCAAAGACGAGCACGAGAGGAACAGAAAGAGGAGAGAGAAAGGACGCAGAGGAGGAGGAGAGACCCAAGAGTAATCAATAATAAGTGGATGTTTCTCTCTCTCCCACTTTCGCTTCGGGCTTCTCCCGTGTTGCCACCGCAGTAATGTATGTTCTCTCTGATGTTCTCTGACATAATCGCTGTGCAGATCATTACAGGGCTCCCATTCTACCTCCACTTCAACAATAAGATATGGAGGATGGGGCAGCACTTTCTCACCTTTGTGGAGACAAGCAGCAGATCACACATGTTGACGCCAAGTAAATCCAGGTAAGCTTCTCCTCATCTCCCTGATCCTCCTCCTCGCCACAAATTTCACATCACATAGTCTACAGCTATGGCGGCTATGGCCGCACCAACATAATCTCCCTCGGAGCTGGCGCTCTCCAACAGTATCTGGGGCCAGCGTCACACCACAGCAGCCTCACGCAGATTTCATTCTATGACATAAAGACAACTCCCGCCCAGGGGGAATTTAATATTGGGTCTTTGGACTTCAAGTTTTCGAAATCGTGGTTTTACATACCACAATCTTCTAATATTGTAGCTATATGCCACCGCAAGGCAGAATGCCTTCCCCAGTGGTCTGGCCTGTTTTATGTAGCGCTGACCAATGTTGACTGGCTTGGACCAGTCTCACCTTTGACGGTGTCGACGCTTCAGATTTGTCGGATCTCGATGGCCTGGATGCAGCCCTGAAGCAGCGGTACCTTTTCCGAGTCGGACTGGTATCTTCTGGATACCTGCATATAACCATTGATGTGCATCTGATCTATGGCGGAGGATAACTACGGGGTTGACTTTGACTTTGGGCCGGCTTTCCCCGCTTGGTCAGACTCTTGATTTTCCAAGAGTCAACCGCCTCACGTGAGGCCTCTGGCTGCTGTTTTCGACTCAGCCCTAAATGCCGCTTGACCCTTGGCCTGCTCTCGGACATTTCTCAGACTTGGGATGCGACTCTTTTGGCCCTTGTTTCTGGCCTTTGACCGAAAGTGACGACCCTAGCCCATGGCTATACGTCTATGAACTCAGTTTATTGCATGATCCAATGATTAAGAAGTTAGGTGTACATCACCTTGCCAAAGGGCCGTTTCCCTGCCTGCGATTCTGTCCTTTCCTTTTCGCAACTAAGCAACCTATCTCAGATAATTAACGAGCTCGAAGTCGTCGATTAGGCGGAGTCCATCGCTGCTTGTTCCATGCGGGTGCATAACCGGTTACATTGTGCTTGTCTTAGTCATGGTCTACGTAATTGGTATGTGTTCAATGGAAATGGATATTGTATGGTGGTCCCTAGACTCCCTACTATTGAAATCGCTACTGTGACAAATCTGAAATCCAGGCCGTCGTTGGTCGTACCGGCCCACAGCCCAGATCGACCGAACCATGTAACAAATCTGCCATCTGGGTCCTACCGGATCGACGGGCCGTATCGGCTCACAATCTTAAGATCTTAAGATTGCACATCAATCCAGGCCGTTGGCCCGGTACCTTGGGCCCGATGGCCCAAATTATTTGCTTGTTGGAGAGGGCCGCGGTACCTATCGGTGGTTTCTTGGCGCGTGCGGTTTTCGGTTCGGGCAAACGGGTTCCCATAGGGTGCCCGTGATGTAACTACTTTTTCGTGGCGGCGTGTACTGTTTTTGGGTTGGGGGGGGGGGGGCGTTTGCTGGCAGCATGGGCAAATTCTACGGCGTGGGAAAGACCCACCCCTATGCTACTCTACTATGTACTATAGACTTCTACTTTCCTATCCTATGCTACTACGCTCAACTTCGACTTTACTACTGTACACTACACTACCATGCTAGACCTCGACTTGGCATGTGGATACACACACACACACACAACATCCGGGCAGACTGTCAGGCTTCAACCTCCTGATGAGTCGGTGGAAGTCTGACGGAACAGCCTCGCTTAGTCATGCCCACGCACGCAGTCGCAAGAGAGAGAGAGAGAGAGAGAGAGAGAAACACACACGACGCTTCTTAACTCGTATACACAAACACACGGGCAAATTCTACGGCGTGGGAAAGACCCACCCCTATGCTACTCTACTATGTACTATAGACTTCTACTTTCCTATCCTATGCTACTACGCTCGACTTCGACTTTACTACTGTACACTACACTACCATGCTAGACTTCGACTTGGCATGTGGATACACACACACACACACGACATCCGGGCAGACTGTCAGGGTTCAACCTCCTGATGAGTCGGTGGAAGTCCGACGGAACAGCCTCGCTTAGTCATGCCCACGCACGCAGTCGCAAGAGAGAGAGAGAGAGAGAGAGAGAGACAAACACACAGGACGCTTCTTAACTCACATACACAAACACACGCAGACTGAACGCACACTATTTCTACATGTCCGAGGTTGGGCTCCGCATCTTGAAGGTTGGACGCTGACTGACGGTGAGTTAGCTCCACTTTGTTATTGATGTCTGTTGCTTTCGTTTCTTTGTTCGCTTCGAACTACGAGCATGTGTGTGTGTGTGTGTGTGTGAGAGAGAGAGAGAGAGAGAACTCTACAATGCTCGACTTTGCTACTCTCCCGTACAATGTTATGACAACCTGCTCACTCCCCTGCTACGACGACCCGCCCCCTCCAATCAAACTAACTACCCCCAGGAGAGATCAGGTCTGAAAACAACTTCTACTGCTAACACTACGCAAGAGAGATAGAGAGAGAGAGAGGCATCTGCGCGATCGATCGCCGTGGCATTCGGGAGAAGAAGCATATCTAATCTCTCTCTCTCGCAATTTGATCGATCGATGGAGGAGTGAAAGGCGTGCGCGCGCACGAGAGAAGAAGCATATCTAATCTCTCTGTCTTGCGACCATGATTGAAGGCGTGCGCACGCGCACGAGAGAGAGAGAGAGAGAAACCAATCTAATTATGCACCTTCCCCCACCAAACACGACCAAGTGTAGTATATGCTTTGATCAGCAAGCGTAGTATCTGCTCCGTTCAGTTTCATATCTGATCCGTGGTCCATCGAGACCTTTTTATTTAAAAAAATAAAAAAACACCCACGCGCGCGCGAGAGAGAGGGGTCCATCAAGATGGTTTAGACGCGCACACGGAGGGTGCTGGAGGGAGGGAGGGAGGG